TTCATCTAACATAAATTTATTTATTTTTTTACTATTTTAAATTATAAAGATATTTTCAGTAATTAGAATCATTTTTTTTTTTCCTTTTCATATTATCCAATCTAACAAAATAATTATTTCTCACTAACTTTCTTCAAAAAATTTATTGCCAACCAAATTCACAATGAAAACTTAATTTTTCTTTCTTTCATTTTCACTTTTCACAAAATTTTCTTTCTAACCCAACAGACCCTTGAGGAATCAACTCTATATTAAGTAGGTTTATAAAAATTATGTGGATCCATGCATGATATTGGTTGGTTGTTATTAAGAGATATATTTTTACCCAGAATGTATAAAACAACCACTAGATCTAAAAATAAACAAAAAAAAATAAAATACACTACAGTTAGACATGCTCTTATTGGGGATATATTTTTACACAAAAATGTAAAACAACCGCTGGAGTTAAAAATAGATAATCCAAAAATTATGTGTAAATCTATTATAACACATCAGATTTACAAAAAAATACATATACACAACCGTTAAAGATGCTCTAAGATGTAAATTCATTAGTTTCATGTTTTTATTCTTTAATATTTATTTAAGAAGCACCATGAAAGCATTTTATTTTTTATTCTTTGTTTAATGTTTGATTGGTGACAACAATAGTTGATCTTGTAAATTTAGAAGTATGATGAAAATATTTTATATTTTTACATAACTTTAATTCTTTAATTTTTTATTTCTCTTATTTTCAATTAATTTTATCTATTTTGCTTCTGGAGTTACTATTGTTTTGCTTATAGGGTTTGCAACTAAAGAATAATCAAGAGAAAGAAGAATCACGAGAGAGAAGAATCAAATATTGTATGTGCAAAATTAGGATTTTTAATTAGGTTTCTACTACCCTTTCTATTCCATACAAAGTTTTTCTAAAATCCCATGTTACATTTTTTCTGTAATGAAAATTTTCAATTCCTTTTCTCTATTTTGAATTTTACAATAATTGATTAGCAACATTTTACAGCATCTATTATGAGAATTTTTTTCAATAATTGATGAATAATATGATGTTTATAAAAGTCCAAAATAGAAATAATAATAAATAATATGCTGTGAATTACAAAATATATATATATATATATATATTATGATCTTTATAAGAGGCCAAAATATTGAAAGTAAAAAAAAAAAAAAAATTATTTTATTTTTAAGAGTCCAAATATAAATAATATTGGGAAAAGACAAGGAAATTATTATTATTTAAGGAAATAGTCCAAAGAAAAATATAATTGAAATTTTAAAAATAAATTATTACGTTTATAAGAGTCAAAAAATAAAAATAATAATAAATAATATGCTGTGAAAATTATTAAAATCAGAGAAAAAAATTCAAATCATATAATTGAACGAAAAGTATATTTACTATTTTAATTTGTAAATTATTTGGTAAATAATTTCATTAAATAATTATCTGTTTTATTTTAATTGGTAACTTGTTTTAGTTGTTTTAACTTTGAGCATAATAGGATTTATTTTAATTAGTAACTTATGTTTGCATTTTAATTGGTAACTTATTTTATTATTTATTTATAGATAATGATGATTTGAAATTCTTTACACCCCCTACACTTTTAATAATAGATAAATAGGTAATTTGAGCTTGGAAACTTTTATAAACACTTTATATTAATTAAAAAAATAAAACTCATAATAAATAGGTAATGTGTGTTATAATTTTATAGAAACTATTCTATATCAATTAATAAATATTTTATTATTTATTTATTTAATGATTGACTTATTTTTGTATTGTTTGAATTTTATTTGGCAACTTATATTTTAATAATGGTGAGGAGTTGTATAACTTGTATTATTTATTTATGTATAATGGTAACTTATGTTTTAATAATCGTGGGGAGTTGTGAGTATACAAACTTTGAAATTTTCCAATTCAACCTTTTCCCTATTACGAGATTTTTTCAAATTTTAACTTTTAAAATTTTCAGTATTTAATTTTTAATTTTGTCAAAAATCACCTGAGTTAGGCTCGGTTGGTTAGTTAATCTTCGGGGTGGATTGGACCTAAATTATTAGTAGTACTTTTGGGCCATTAATAACTTTAGGCTGCCAACTGGTTAAATGGTTTGGTTTGGGGCGGCTGAAGACAAGCAAAAGTCTCTCCCTATTGAAGGACTTTCATGGGTGGATTTTTTTTTACCATACCTTTTGGGCTTGGGCTGGGCTGCATAAAAAAGTTGTGGAGTGTGAGAATATTTTCGAGGTATAATTATTTTATTCTTGAAGGAAAAAAAGAAAAAAAAATTAGTTATTACTAAGTGACCTAAGTTATAGAGACTAAGCTTCCCAAACGGATGTACTCATATTCTGAGAGAAAGTTGAAATGTGAGTATATCATATAGAGAGTGTGTGTGGTTTGGTTTTAGTCAATTTTACAAGTATTGATAAAAGTGCATGATCTTTTGATAAGTTGTTTGTGATTAACAGATTCCATTGTGCTTATTACATAATTTGTTTCTCCTAAGTTGGTTATAAACAGTTCATAAGCAAAAACAAATAGATCACGAGTCATGATTTATCAATAAGAATTTGATTCTACAAGTTTTTTAATCACATATTGCTAATCATATGCCATTATATTTCTCTTTTAGCTGTTCCTTGCACTTGGAAGTAAACTACCATGGGACATAACATTTGGGAGTATTATTTAAATAAAACAAATTATTGTCACTTTATGCATGACTAATATCAAATCTCCAGTTAACAAAGTTCATTTTTAATAAAATATTATCGGGTAATTTATTTGGTGGAGTGCATAACTCCCGGAGTAGGTATACCGGTCTTCGAGTTCCTCCTATTCCTAATTTGCGAAGAAAAAAAGAGATTCATGTTGCACTCTAAAAAAAAAATGTCTTTACATAAATTTAATTTCTCTGTTTATTATTATTAATTTTTAAGCATGATTAACATAAGTTAACCTTGCTCCAAAATTTGACCAGCAAATTGCAACACTTTTAAGTCCATGAATCGGCAGGGTTACATCATTCACCCACTGATTTTTATATGGGTCATGAATCATGATCAATACACCACCGTGACACAGACAATAATATAAATGATAAAGATGTTTTTGGTCAACAAAATTTGGGACCAATGATTAGTGGCCATAATTGATACAGCTCACGCTCATAATTCATATATTTGACACAGCAAAAATGAAATTTCATGAAATTATTAGAAAAAAGTTATGTACAAATAATTAAAGTAAAAATAGTAGAAAGTTGTCTGAAGTCTTCTCGTATGAAGTTTCAAATACTAAAATTACAACGTTCTTGTACGGTTGATTCACTTTCCCTGATTTATTAGGGTCACAATCACTGGGGTCATCACTATACGGTTCAGTTCCCTCTCGAGTGTGATACAACTAATAAGACACTCACAATTTTAAATATCGTGCCTATTTCGAATTCGATTCTTAATTCATTATTTTTTTTTTATAATGCAAAATATCATATGATATTACCTGACTAATGGGACCCATTACTCCTCTTGTAATAACCTTCGGATATGATTCTTAAATTACTACAATACTCCGATAAGTATAACTACGAGATTCAGACTCGTTTAATGAATGATATAACAGCTGAAATGTCTCAAAATACTATAATCCTAGAATATTGTATACTTTCTCATCAATTATTTCTTAATTAAAAAAATAAAATAAAAAAGGCTATATAACGGAGCCAAGATTTTATTTCAGAGGGGGCACAATGCACTTGTTAAAAAAATAATAATAATAAATATGACAATATAATTTTTTTAAATCAAAAAGGCAAATAAGAAAAAAGTAGTTGTAAAATAATATACTAAATAAATATCGTAAAAAAATATAGTTACAACTATAAGAATCAAAATATTAATTAATAATATTTTAATTAAATACTATCACAAATGTCATAGATTAAAAGAAATAAGTTTAAAAAAAATAGAAAAATACATAATTATACATAAGTGAAAAAAGAAATTTTTGAAAAAGGAACAAAAATTATAAAAAGAAAAATATATTGTATACCTAAAGAAGGGATATACGTAATTTTTTTTTTCAAAAGAAAATTAAAAGAATTTAAAATTTTGAGGGGGACACTATTTAAAATTATCATGTAAGTATATATATATATATACATACCAAAAATATGTACCTATATATAGTAGATTGAGCGATTGAGCAAAGTGAGGAGAGGCACATGCCGGCCTTAATCGGCTTCGACCCCACCCCACCCCACCCCACCCCACCCCACCCCACACACACACAGCAAAATATTTGTACTAGGATTATGACCCTATGTCCATACGCGTACATGAGTCCAACTTCTTCGATGATCGCATACAAAATATAGGTTCAAGTATAAAAAAACACTCTTAATATATAATCTACATAATCCTTTCACTCCTTATTTGAAAAAGTATGCTAATAAACCTCTTATTCTTTTAACCTTACGCGAAAATATCACTCAAACATAAATTTGTAATTTAAGGAGCTTTCGCAGGGATGTGAAATTATACGCATTTCAAATCTTCGAGACGACAAGAGATAAAAATTATTTTGTGTGATTTAAGGGCTTTTTTTGTAATTTCATTATAAAAAGTAGGAAATGATTTAAGGGCTTTGTTTATAATTTCATTTTTTTTTAAAAAAAGAAGGAAAGTGGAGTACCTAATAACATTGCCAAAATCATATTCTAAAATATATATTCCTATAAATTAAATTTCAGTGGAAGGAGGAGAAACTTTTTCCCAAAAGCGAGTATTTCCCAAATCCACTAGTTGCTTCCAACTTACCAGGGAAAGGCCTCACCAAATTTGAACTTCCATGACCAAAAAAGACACCCCCCACACACAATCACAATTAACACCACCTCCAAACACCCCTCCCCCCCCCCCTCTCTCTGTGTCTCACACACACACACACACACACACACACACAGATCCATCGCTGTGAGAAATTCTCTTGTATTACCAAGATGGGAAACAAAGGAAAAAACAAAGTCCTGTAAGGCTCCAAGCCTCTAACACAAACAGAACACACCAACCAACACATGCCTCATACAAAAATTTACAAATTATATTAGGAAAGGGAAGAAAAAAAGAAGAAGAAAGAAACCCTCACTTCTATGCATTTTCCTATATTTTCTTTTCTTTTCTTTGGTGGATGGAATTGATTAAGCAGCTGCCACTGTGCTTGTACGAAAAGAGTAGTCTTGGGCTTTGTTTGGAGAGGTGGATTTTTTCTGTTCTTTCCTGGAGGCTTTCATGGATGAAGACAGGCTTCGATTCTTCTCTTCGGCTTCATCTTTCTCGATCTGTTTTTGTCTGCACTCTTCACTACAGAATGGTGTGTCCCCTCTGCAAAATCACAACAGTATAAAAAAATTACAGTCAGTTATGACACACACTGATATTGTTTGAATGAATAAAGAAAAATGCATTAAACCCATTTAGGTTTAGTAATCCATTACCCCAAAGATTTTTTTTATAAAAAAAACGGTGTTTGGTTTCTGAGAAAAAGTGGGAAAAGAGAACAAAAGTTTTTAGCCTTAAAACCAGAGGAAGGAAAAAAAATAATTTAATAAATAAATAAAAGTCCTTCTGGAAGCAATCATTTTGATTCAGATCATTTTGTATTTTTTTTTTTTCCGGAAGCCAAAAACACACAGAAATGTCAATGTTTTATTTTCCTTTCCTCAAATTTCTTGGCAGCCAAACAGAGACAATGGAAAATCGAAAGGTAATTTTTAAGTATTGCTTTTTTATGACGTATTCTTATGTGTCCTTTATTTAATGACAAACAGTTAGTTCTCCCTGCGTTTAGTGCAAAACTACCTAGCAAAACAGAAAACAAGTATTTTTTCACCAAAATTAGATTTTTTTTTGCAACTCAACAGAACTTTCCCGGGAAATTGACAATCCGATCAAAACAAGGCAAACTAAAAACTGGGTTTTAAAATTAAAACATGGATTGCTAACCTGTACATGAAGATGTCTCTGTTATCACCAAGAGGTTTCTTACAGAGAGAACAGGCTTCTAAGAAATGGGGTTGGTGGTGTTCTTCGAATCTGCCATTAAAGAACCTTCCAGATCTCGGAGAAGAGAAGGATAGACTTCTCAGAATACTTTTTCTTTGCGAAGAAGCTGTACTGTGATAGAGAGGCCTGGAGAAGAAAAAGTGATTGTTTCCCGAGAAACCAGCTTCCATGTCTGCAAGAGAGGCTAGACCATCGTCTTCTTCGATGAAACAGGGCCTTCTTGTGGCTGTCGTGTCCATGAATGTGTGTTATTTTATGTGCTTTTTCGAGAGAGAGAGAGAGAGAGAGAGAGAGATAGAGGAGAGAGTGAGGAGGGAGGGAGGAAAGTGGTGGTGGCTATAAAGGGGTTGGTGGTGAGAGATGAGAGAGAAAGCTAGAGAGAGATATGGGAGAGGAGAGAGAAAGCTAGAGAGAGAAAGTGGTGTGTATTGGAAGTATAAACCACGGCGGGAGTTGGGGAACCCGTGCAAGTGAATCTATTGGCGGAGGGCCCGAGAATACTTGCATCTCTCTTGTTTCGGAAGACTAATACGTAACTACAAACTTACACGCATTTGCCAACAATGTATGCTATATTTAGTGCCATAATTAGAAAAAACACGTATTATACGCAATAATACACTTGTAAGTCTTCAACTTAACGAATAATACTTGATTTTGTTTAATTAAATTATATGCTGCATGTTTTAAAGCAGAAAAAAGTTACTTCACGCACTTACATAATTTCTTTTTTTAAAAGCTTACATTACATTTAATTATTTTATTAAAATAAAAAATAAAATTTCCAATATTCATACTATGAGTATACACGTATAAGTTTTCAACTTAATGAATATTACTTGATTTTTTTAATTAAATTGTATGATGCATGCTTTAAACATTTTATATATTATATATTACATCATATAGTAAGATAATAAACGCACTTTTTAAGAAAAATTCGAATTATATTGGTGAATATCATGTACTCTGTTTTACCCATACCTTATTTTACTAATTGTGAACTGGAGTGATTAATAAAAATAAATTAACTAATAAAAATATAAGAAAGTCTTTTTTTTTTTTTTTTTGAAGTGGCATCTATTAGTAAGAAAATAAGGTGATGGGTTGGACAGCTACACTAGAAACCTATGAATGCACACTAGAAATGAAATAAGGTAAGAGACAGTAATAAAAATAAAATTAATTCATTTGACCAACCCAATTTATATGAAATTAGGTAAGAATAAAGTATTTTGACAATTTATAATTTTAAGCTAATTTATATGAATATTTTGACACGGTTACAAATTAACATTGAATTTTGTGTGGGTCTTAGAATTGAAACTATTTATTCCAGTTCGACTCACTTACTTAACAAATTAAAAAACTAATAAAATTAATTAAAATTATTTATAAATAACTTGATTATTTTAAAATTATTTTTTAAAAAAAATAATAAAACTCGATTTGTTTGCCCACTGCTATGAATAAAGAGTTGGGCTATACTAAGGATGGCATTAATGTAGTATAGTTGAAAAGGGAGGGGAGTGAATTAGAAAATTATGCTTGTAGGGGGTTGGTCCTCGATAGCAGTTCTCGGACCCAGAAGGCCACTTTCGACCTAACTGCACATGAGATGCTTCTTTTTGTTTAAAGGGCAAAGTTGTAACGTCAATATTCTATTGGTGAAAACGACCCCCACGCTCATTCGTTGCGCGTCGCTTTCACCATGTCACCGTCCTATACCACCACCTCCTCCAGTCCACACTACACTCTGGCCTCCAAGTCCTCTCTATCTGCCTATTGGGTGGGATACTTTAGCTCCTCCCCAATAGTAAGTGGAAATAACACTCTTGCACTGCCAGCTGTCAATAGAAATAAATAGCCAATAAATGTAAATTTTGTTTTCAAAATTAATTTTTTTAGCTTATTTTGTTTAATTCCCTATTAAACAAAAATATATATATATATACTGAGTTTCGAATACCAACAATGTACTATCTTAAATTTAAATTTGAAAATGCCATCCCAAGTTTGTGTACAGGTTTACATATATTTCTAGCATTTTTTCATAAGTGGCATTATAATTGACAACAGACGTTTTTTTTTTATATTTTAAATAAATTGTTTTTTCATCAAATAAAGTTTATTTACATGAGTTGTTGTTATTAATTTTACTTACACAAAATTTAAAATATTTTACAAATAAAATTATTTCTTGTCTCATATATTGATTTTATTGAATAAATGTTGTGCAAAAAAATAAATAAAAATGGCACACTAACTAAAAGTTGAGACACGGGTTTCTTTGTGAACAAAAAAATAGTCTCTTTGTACTTTCGAAAAAAAAAAAAAATTACTCTTAAAAGGATAAGTTTACCAAAAAGATGCTCTCACTTTAATATGTCATAATCAAATCACAAATACTATTTAATCGAAATTCATTGATTGTGACTATAGTTACTCATTTTATTTTATTTTATTTTAAATTTTATTTATTTATTTTTTTATTTTTATGAGTGATGGTGTCGACATCCTAGAATACTCACTAATTTGTCAATTATAATGCCAACAATGTACTACCTTGAATTCAAGTTTGAAAATGCCATTCCAAGTTTGTGCAAAAAGTTTACATACATTTGTAGCATTTTCTCATAAGTGGCATTATAATTGACAAATGACAACAGAGAGGTTTTTTTTTTAAACTAAAAATAAAAAAATTGTTTTTTAATCAAATAAAGTTTATTTACATAAGTTGTTGTTATTAATTTTACTTACACAAAAATTAATATATTTTACAAATAAAAGAATTTCTTGTCTCATATATTAATTTCATTGAATAAATGTTGTGCAAAAAAATAAATAAAAATTGCACACTAAATAAAAGTTGAGACCCGGGTTTCTTTGTGGGCAAAAAAATAGTCTCTTTGTACTTTCAAAAAATAAAAAATAAATAGGTCTCTAAGAAAAATAAGTTTATCAAAAAGATGCTCTCACTTTAATATGTCATGATCAATCATAAATAGTGTTTAATCGAAATTCATTATTGTGACAGTAGTTATTTTTTTATTTTTTATTTCATTTTAAGTTTTCTTTCTGATTAATGATGGTGTCGTCTGTCGACATCTTTGATAACATTGTACATACGACTTTTTATTTTTGTTTTTTAAAATTCAAACTTTAATTGATAATTTTTTATCATTAAGCTTGGATTAAGGCCTGATTAATTAAAAATATATATTTTCGCCAAAATTGTCAAACAATTATTCTAATAAAAAAGTAAATTTTAAATGATATATTATAGAGAGGTATTTTTACAATTAAAATAATTTTTAATTTATTTGATAACAATTATTTTTAACTATTCACCTCCCGTTTGATAAAAGAATAGAGTAAATATCCGTAGTACCCCCACATTGAGTTAATGTGCATATGTTTTTAGAGCGTGAAGCACACGCGCTTTAAATGCACGTCAACTCATCTATCACCGCACGGGTACGTGTAACGCATGCACAGTTCCGCGACCCACCAGTTTTTAACTCCTGCTAACTTGAGAGTTGAGCCTAACCACAACGAGACAGCACTGCTGACGTCACCCATACCCCTAACTTTTTGCCGGACTCATTTGTCGTTTTATTCTCTACCTTTAAAGTTCCAAGTTCGGTGGGCCCCAAGCCCCAAAAACAACCATCGAAATGTGGACTCATAAGTCCTTCGTGCCCATTGATTATCGGGTAATTTATAAGGATCTCCCTTATAATCTGTTATAATTATAAATAATACTTTTTTATTTTAAAAATTACGCGAATTTTTTTTATTTTTAAAAATATCTTATATGGACCTCTTTTATGTGTGACGGACAATTAAATACACTAACGAAAATCTGTCAAAATTACTAAAGTGCCCTCAAATTGTTATTTTAAATTACTAAAATACCCTATATGAATTATGAAAAAAAAAAGAAAAAGAAAAAGGAAATACCCTATGTATATATATATACACATCTGATATATATGTCGTGCCTTTCCGAGACTGTCAACAAGAGGGTGAATTCTTTCTCAATTCTTGCCATTTTGCTCTGAATGAGGTCACAATTGGTGAAATCTGAACCATTCTCAAGCAAGACAATTGGGAATTGCTCATAGATTCAACAAACCTGCCCAACAAGCTAAACCCATATGCGGTTTGATCCGTTCTTCACCCAACACAATCAGAAAATTGACTTAGCTCCGAGTCCTCAACCTTCAATCTTCATGCCAACCACTTTTCCGGTCAGATTCCTTCCGATTTTTCCAATCTAAATCTTCTCCGACAACAACTTCACCGGCACAACAAATCTGACCAATCTCCTTTCCGGCAACAACTTCACGGGCACAACAATCTGACCAATCTCCTTTCCGGCAACAACTTCACTGGCACAACAATCTGACCAATGTCCTTTCTGGCAACAACTTCACCGGCACAACAATCTGACCAATCTCCTCTCCGGCGACAAGCACAACTTGCCGATGTCTCCAAATAATCCTCATTGATTGAAATCTAATATATATCTCGTTCTCAACTTCACTTTCATTATTTATCACGAAACTAAAAAAATATATAAAAAGGTCATATAAAAGAACAATTTTCCATGTACCACCAAGTAAAATTGTTCAAGTTGCGAAATATACCATTGGCAAAGCTATTAAAGCAGCACAATATGCTATTGTTGAATTTCAATCTTAATAATATATATATATATATATATATATATATTGTGGTGACAATCCCAGATTAGTGAGTTCTATTAGCATGGTAATCCTCTGTATATTCCAGAAAATTAGAAAATGGCAGCTCAGTGTGTCATCCAGCACATGGAAGACCCCAACTTTCAACCATCAATGATGTTCCATAAAGTGTATGATTAAAAAAATAATAATAATAATAAAAAATTCTTCCTGTCTGCGGCAGTGGTTGAGGTGGGCATGATATGTGAAACAAAACTAGAAGGCGATTTTTTGCTCAGTCAATAAAAATCAATCAAACCCAAAAAATCAAGAGCAACATAAACCCAACAGATTAGATTTTCTTCCCCAACGGTACCTTCCCCCAAATCCCCACATCTTCGCCCTTCCCTTCTATTTTTTCCTGAAAATAAAAAACCCAACTTTCCAGGAAAATTCTTCACCGATTTTCCAAATCCAAGCTCGGAGACAACAACCCTTTTCACCAAACTTTCTCTAGTTTTTAGAAATTGAAAGGGTAGGGATGAGTCGACTGTAATCACACACACACATACACACACATAAGGGTAGGAAAGGGTATTTTCGGCATTTTATAAAAAATAGTAGCTAATGTACAGAAGGGTGGTCGGTGTAGGATATTTTCAAAAGTAGAGGAGGTTCGCGTAATTTTCGGAACAGGAAAGGTGCCGCCTGTAATTATGACAAACCATAAGGGAAGTTTGTATAAATTACCCTTGA